TGCATTCCTGTAAGTTGACGCAGAGCTGCTCATGGCAATTGTTTGTAGACCCTCCCTTCTATCTTGTGCCCGAGACGAGTAGCTGCAGTATAAAGGTGGTTTCTCTATGGCCACGTTCCTGCAGCAAAGCCCTGGGCCATGTGCTGAGCGCTGTGCTGCGTGCCGCGTGTCGCTGTACCGATGGCCAGAGCTCTGGTGTCGCACAACAGTCGCGTATGGAAAGCTTTACCCTCTAATGTGAAAAATGGGAAAGACAGGTGCAATCTGTGTCTAACATCCTCTCATTATTCCTCTCATCTTGCAGGAGCTCTGCTGCTGCTGCCTTCCCTCTGTGTGAGCAGCAGGGCCCCTGGTATAGGAAGCAGGCGCAGGGTCCCTGTCCCTGGGTCTGAGTGGTGTCAGATACCAGCTGGACTTTGGGGTGCTGGTGAACCTGAGCTCACTCATGTTGCCCAGCCGCACTGCTTTGTAACGGACCTCACTGGAACAGTACTTTAAAAAGTTTTTGCTAAATGTGATTACATTACATTACATTAATGTACATACATTACATTAATGGTTAAAGAAGATCCGTAGCGGGCATCTGCTGAAACCAGCGAAGTACTTTCAGAGAAGACCGTGGAAAAAGGTTAACAGAGAGATTTAGTGTTTCACAAAGGATCAGAACGCCCTGCCGTAGGGGTAGGAGAATGGGAGATTTAGGAGCGGTTAGCAGCTTGGGCAAAAAACAAAGATGAATAATAATGGCAGCTCCTATTTTTTTCTATTAAAAGTTCCTAGGCTACACAGATTTGTTGTAAATGATGACACTGAATAACAAGCTTTGCCCAAGCTCCGCTGAAAGGCTTTTTAACATCAGCAGCCGATGCCCTCCTGCGCGGGGACACAATTGAGTCTGCTCCTCCAGACAATGCACCTGTCACTGCAAAACACAGAGCTGGCAATTAGCAGGGGAGGCTCCGCGCTGTGCTTTCATCCCAGACAATGAGAAGGGCCTGGAAGAGCACGATTAAGGCTGGCATGTCCGCAAGAGATTGTTGGAACAATCCTCCCTGAGACTTTTGGGCATTTGAAAACACAGAAACAACAAAAAACCCTGGTTAAATCTAACTCTACAGACAAGTCTAGAAAGCAAAATAACACTGGAACGGGACCATTGGCTTTGGAAATCTATGCCTGAGGTTGTGCAGGAAAGGCTTGCTTCTCAAGTGAGAGATCTTCAGTGAGATATCAGTGGTGCATCACAGGAAAGAAGCACCGTGGGGGATTCGGCACACGCAGCTGCAGCGGAAGCTGTGCACTGCTTAAGCAGGGCTGGGTGCATTGCCATCTGGGGAGGGATGGGGAGCACACTTCTCATGCGAGAGCAGAGCCCTGGGCAGTGCTCTGTACTTGGCACTCTGAACGTTTAAAATTCTCCCGAAGGATGAACTCTCCAGAGGCCCTGAAAGCTATGCAGCCACAGAAGTATCTCAGCTACATCTTGTGACCGGTTCTGAAACTGGAAGCTGCTCAGCTGAGCCTTTTAGAGTTCTCTGCTAGAACAGACAGAATTGGTCAGCAAGTCTCAAACTTTCTCTGCTGGTGGAGGAATTTTTCCAGCTCTTATGCATCAGAAAAGTCACAGAGGTTAATAAAAATAAATACCAGCTTCATCTTCTCGGGCGTATAATATATTATTGCTATATGCTACAAAGTAATTCCTACTGTGGATCTTCAGTTGCAGATCTCAAACTGCACTCTCAGCAGCACAAAGGGCACAGAACAGGCAGGGGGGGCACGGATATTCTGCCCAGAGCTCTCACACAGCTTCCTACTGCGAGCAGCTCAGGTGTGACCTGTGTGCTGAGGGCATGGCAGCAGGCATGGACGTGCAGGTAGAACGGCGTGTTTTGCTGTGTGAGGCAGTGAGCTGGTGCACATAGGCTCCTGAGACCTGCATCACTCCATCCCCTTGGGCAGAGGGGCTCTTCCTACCTCTGAACTCGTGCCCTCTTCCCTCGCTTCCTGAAGCACGTATCCCCAACGTGCCAGAATCTCGATGTGAAGACTGTAGCATCAGGAAGTTTGGTCAGCCCTGATGTGACAGACTAGGGAGGAGAGTGGGAAAGAAAATAGAACTTGACAAATAATGGGATTGCCACACATGTGGGTGTCTGGCCATAAAAGCAAGTCACTGCAGACCTTTACTGTACAGAATAAAGAGACTTGTTTGCAAACCTGAAGAATTAGCTGGACGTACTTGTGTCTCTGCAGAGCTGTGAATGTGAAATGGCATCCACAGTCCAAATTCCAAAGAGAAAGTTGTGCGTTCTCTGCCCGCTGCTTGGCTGTGTAACTACAGACCAGTCTTTGGGTGATGTGTGCAGGGATGTTAAGTGGTAACGCTGTGTCTTCGTCCAGAGGCAGTGAATGAATTGTGTAGATTTTTGCAGACACTGATGCCTCCGATAGCTCAGTCCATGTGAGAGTTAACATTCACAAGCAAGCAAGTTAATGACTTCTGCTGAGTGAGATGGGATGTCCTGGGCTGGAGCAATGGAAAGTTGTGCCATGAGTGGATCACTGCAGTGCACATGTCCAAATATTGATTAATTTCTTGCTGAATACTGAGGGTCTTTCTTCAAGACAGCTGACCTGGAGGCGCCACAGGAGCAGAGCCAAGCGCTGTGGGCCTTCCACCAGCAGGGGTTAGCAGGACAGCCAGCCTACAGGGGTGTGGGAAGGACAGAAGGGTCTGTTTCAGGGATATGTCAAATATTCAAGCTGAGAACACGCTCAGAAATCCGTTAGTAGTCTTGCCATTGCAGTGGTAGACGGCCCATTCTCAGCCTTAAATCTGCCACAGACTTTAATTTGTGGAAGTTACAAACTGCCAATTTGCAATGCTTTATGCTAGGGTGGATGGCATTTAGTGGAAGGCTTTGTTAGTGGAACTGAAAAGGAGAAGTATTTGTGGCCTGTAAAAGCAGCCAGGAGTTTTAATTTTGGCGTGTGAGAGACATCTGGGCTTTGCACTCACCAAAAAAGTGTCTGAATTTGGGGAAGCAGAAGGTTTTTCTCTTTGAATTTTGGGTGGTCCTGCATGAAGCCAGGAGTTGGACTCAGTGATCCTCGTGGGTTCCTTTCCACTCAGATATTCTGTGATTCTATGATTCTAAGGTTCAAATCCTTATCTGTGTGCTCACAACTGTTCCCTTTCACGTACTCAGAGAAGAAGTAACTGCTTTACTTTCCTTTCTGAATAATAAACAGTGAGACAGTTCAAGATGGTTTGTAAGGATGGAGGGTGTTGTTTCAGGTCCTCCCAAGCCCTATGGCAAGTGCCCCTTGCAGAAGCAAAGGGAAACCCCCATAAGCAGATAAGTAAGGATACCAAGGGATCTTTGAACTGCAGAACTGAACTGTAGTGTTCATTTCAGTGTGAGACATCGGCACAAACAGCAGCAACTGTTTTTTGGATTTGTGAAACTGAAATAATTAGTGGGCAGGAGGTAGGTCTGAATCTTCTCTCCCAGTGCCTTCTAAGTCAGCACTTGACAAGCCCTGTTTCTAATGAATCTAATTCAAACAAACAAAATTTGGGATGCAATAAACTCAGCGAGGAGGAGCTGAGTCAGAGAGGTGACCAGTTTTGTGCAATAAAAGGTGGGGAAAATAAACAAATATCACACTGGAATAACACCTACAGCTGGGCTAGGGAGATGTTTTGAAGGATAACTCCAGAGGGGACAGGCTTGCAACATGACCTAGTGATCTTTGACACACACATCACTTTGTTCCATTTTTCAATACATCTTATTTGGACACATGGCTTTCTACTCCACTTGGCAACTATTTGATTTATGAAGATTAACGTGTTCCTGGCCCGTGTGCTGGGAAGCCCTTCGTGGGTTGTGTGAAAGATGTGCCTCGAGGGTGGTAGATCAGGGTTTACTAGCTGGTAAGGATAACACTTCCTAAAATGCACCTGAGCTGATTTTTTTAATTGACTACGTGTAAACAGAATTGCAACCTATTTATAAATAAGCTAACTCAGAGTGACAGCATCACCCAAGCTGCACGACACATTTTGCCCCTTGCTCATCTGCTTATTAAGGAGATTTGCAGGCATTAAAAGTACACTGGAATTTCAGCATCTTACTGTCCTGAGGTCATACCTCTGCTTGCCAAGGTCTTTTTGCACTGGACGGACATCTCTTAACACTAAGAACTTTGTTATTTCTAATTGATTTTGGGATGTATGGAATGAAGGCTGACTTTAGGAACTGCAGATGCCTTAAGGAGACAGCTGACTGTCTTGAGTATTTGTTTTGTGTGAATTAGTGCAGATACAATGATGAATTACCAGAACTGGCGGGGATGACTCTGCTGCCATGGCAAGAAGCAAACAGATGCCAAATACCAGCTTTCATGTGGTTGGAGCTGCTGCTCTTCCTTTACAACGCCTATGAAGCATTCTTGACAAAGCTTGCTAGAGCCGACCTTGATTCCTTCCAAAGCATAGTGTGTGATTATAGGAATTAGTTCAAAGTCAAACCCAAAGAACATGTGCAGACGAGGTTGCAAACTCAGGCAGCATTCACTGAGCACTGGAAACTTTTCTTCACCTCTGCACATGCAGAGAGGATGCTGTCTGTAATAAAGAGGAGTGAGGGTGGAGGCCGTGGTCTGGATTCTAGTTCTAACTCTATCAGGGAACTACAGTTAATCCCATTGCAAAAAGTTGGTTAACTCAATCTGAAGCACGGGCATAAATAAGGTAATTTGCATAAATAAAGTAATTTGCTATCTGCTGGGTAACTGCTCTTATTAAACTTTATCTAGCTGCAAGTTTGAAAAGTGCTTTGCACTTTTTCACCAGAAGGTCCCCGGGCTGGACTCGGATGCTGCTCCCTCCATCATCGAGCAGGGTTGGCAGAGCTGCCGGGCGCTGCAGAGCCCCTCGGGGCGGCCCTGGACGCTGTGTGCCGCTGTGTGCGCCATGGCCGCTTCCCAACTGGCAGCGGTGACTAAGCAGCCCCGAGCAGCTGTCTCAAAGGTCCATTCTTCTCTGAGAGATTTATTGCGGCAAGCAGAGGCGCTGAGATGTGATAATTGCCTTCATTCCCGGACGAAGACCCTGAAGAACAAAACCCAGTTGCCCGTGAATCCATGGTGTGATTCAAGCATTCGCAGAGAGGGAGGAGTGGGAACTGCGCGCCTGTTGCTGTAGCAGAAGTGAATGGGCATTAATCATAAGGGCAGCTCGGCCCTGCGAGGCGGCTGCAGCGCTGCCCATGGCGCTGCCCGTGGCCCTCCAGCCCTCGCCTGCTCCGCGCTGGCCTGATCCGGCCCTGGGGCTGCTGCGGGGATCCCGGCGCTGAGGGGATGCCACGACGTGAAGCTGGGGGACGTCACTCCAGGGTTGCGCCGACGGTGCCGCCGGGGCTCCTGTCTCTCGTGAGCCTGTCGCACTCCGCGCCGCGGTCATCCCTTTAGGGCCGATCTTCACGCGGATCTCCTGAGCACGCTCCTGTTCGACGCTCGCTGCTAGAAGGATCCCCGGTAATTCCCCACTGCCTCTTTTTTCTTGCCAGGGCCAGGGACCAGCTTTCCTGCAGTAGCTTTACCGGGACTTTCACGGAGCGGCGACTGCCTGGAAAGAGCTCCCTCCAGCATGCGGGTTGGGGCGCGGGGCGCGCGGAGAGCCGGCTCCGTTGCGGGGGTCGGAGCCAGCTCCGCCCGGGGCTCCGCGTCGCCACCGCCGTTCGGGCGCCGGTGCGCGTCACGGGTGAGGCCGGCGGCTGGGCGCTCTGCGGGGGGGACTGCGGGGTGCGGGCGGCGGGGTGCGGAGCGCGGTGTCCCCGCGGGGCAGAGCGGGCCGCCCCCCGCTTCAGCAGGGCGGTGATGCCGAGCCCCGCTGCCCGCCCCGCTGCCGCCCCGTCCTCCTCGACGGCAGTGGCGGAGCTGTCCCTCTCACCCGCCCCGCATCGCTACCAGCTCCCCGTATCCCGCTTATTTCACTGCCCCCGCTCCAAACTTCCCCGGTAGCACTGTCGGGCGGGGAGCTGTGCGCTCTGCTCGTAAGGGTTTTCAAGCTTTTTTGATGAAAAAGAATCGGTACAAGTTCACCAAAGATACCTAGGGATACCCTGCTTTGGCAGGGGGGTTGGACTCGATGATCTCTGGAGATCCTTTCCAACCCCTACACTTCTGTGATTCTGTGATTCTGATTCTGTAAAGTCGCTGCTGAACCATTTCAGAACGTCGTCAGAGTCAGGGCTTCAGAGCACATCTCCTTAGTCCCTTAGCAGCAAAGTGCTTTTACTGCAGTTTTACTGTACACACAGTGCAGCGAGAGCCTCACTGGGGTCAAAGAGATTTCTCGCAGCTCGCCGTGTCACTGCTGAGAGACAGCTGTAGGGCTTGTTTGCCCTGAAGGTCGCACTGCCAGTTCCCATGTTTGTCTCTTTACAAACCCTTATCTACGCCCTTGCTGGCTTTATGTGGCCTTGCACTCCAATTTCTGGAGCAGGATGCCCTGCACAGACAGGTGTTACACTATGGTGGATGGGGCTGCAGGTCAGCAGGAACTGTGCCAGAGCTGTGTTCCCTCGGACTTTAAAAGAGATGTGAAAAGCTACCCGTGAGTTGGCACTGCTTAACGATGTAATTATGATGGCTCTTTTATTTAGTTAATGCAGATAAAGAGGTTAACTTGCCCGTCTATTGATATCACACATCCATATATGTTTTATCATTAATTACTCTGTATCCTGGAAACAGATGTTAGACTGATACCTTCTGTTCTTCAAGGAGAACTGAGAACTGGTGGGACAACATCCAGGAAAGGTGCCTCAGAGAGCCCTTTTCTTGGTTTGAATTCCAGACTTTCTGAGAATAACAGCCCTGCTCCATGGATTGTCTTTCTGCAGAATGCTTCTGCCTCTGCAGTGCACCTCCAGTAATATCTTGTTTGTTCTAGCAAGGGCTGAAAGCTTGCCAGTTGGTCAGCATGAGAGACTTGAGACCTGATTCTTGGTTCTTCAGCTTTCTGGTGAGCTTTGCAATAATTTTAATAATGTGAATATTTGAGACAGTGTTGGTGCTTTATGGGAGTGTTACAGAACAGCCTTCCCAACAGGTTGGCAGTCTATCCAGGAGCCTCTTTGCCTCTGCAGCTCTTGCTGAGAATCAGACTTCTAAAGGTGAGTGTTCTCATCAGAACTGCTGTTTTTACAAGCAATATTCAGCACAGAGCAACAATGCATTAAAAGTGTTCCACTGCAGAAGTGAAAGTAAAAAAACTTATCTGAGTATTTTGTAGCTAAAGTTACATTCGTGCAGCCAACTGCGCTGCCTTCTGCCCATCACTGTGCATCCTGCAGGCTGGCTGTTGCTTCCTAAGGCACACGCTCCACTCTGTTTTTTCCTTCAGATTTTGCTCCTGTTATGATAGAGACCTTGAGACACATGTATGAATACGTGCCCACTGCTTTGGACTGGTGGCATGCAGAGAGGTTCTGTGACCAGCGCTTTGCTCAGCTGCTTTTTGAGCCCCCAGACAGCGAGCAATCATCCTTCAGCAAACTGCTGCAGTCCCACCACATCAGAGGTTCTGTCTGGCTGAACGAAAGGGACGGGGTCCTGCACAAACCAAAATGGAGACGTGAGTATAAGTGGAAGATGAAGAAGAATCATATGCAAAACTTGCTCATGCCAGCTGGAATTTCTCTTTCTAGGGAACCATATTGTGCCAGTCCTGGTGTTTGGAGTCAAAACAGACACAAAATATGTGAAGGTGCTCTCTGACTTCCCAGTGCTGCCTGCTGTCACAGCCTGTGCCCATCTCCAGTGGGACACCAGGACTCAGGAGATTGCTACTGTCTTTTCCTATGCTGTGCCAGCTTTTATTAACGAATTCCAGCTCCGTGGCTTTGTTGATGAGGAAGGCTTTGTCAGATTTGCTCTCATTGTCCATGGGCACCATTCCCCATACCTGCCTGTGTTCCGTGCGGATGGACAGTGGCATCACTTCTGTGTGACATGGCAGCAGGAAAATGGGACCTGGGCCATCTATGCTGATGGTAAAAGGAGGGCATCGGCCAGCGGCCTGTGTACTGCAGGGTTGGCTGCCCCTCAGGCCATCTACGGCCAGGGCACTTTCATAATTGGGCAGGATCAAGATTCCCTGGGGGGCACCTTCAAGGCAAAAGAGTCCTTCAGTGGGAACATCACAGACTTGCATATCTGGCAGAAAGTCCTGAGCACGGAGCAGATTGAGAATGTTCGGTCGTGCTGGATGGTAGAACAAGAGCTTGTGTTTGGGTGGAGCTTGAATGCTCTGGAGATTGAAAGCACTGTTGAGGAAGTGACTGCACAGTTTCTTTGCCCAGGTAAGTCCTCCCTTCCTCTGCATGAGGTCAGCAAGGGATGGCCTGAGAAACAAATCCTGTCCTCGGTGAGGGAACTTTTGCAGTGTGTGGAGACCATCTCCTTTGGGAAGGAAAGTGCAAGGAGATTCAGAGCTGGGATGAGCAATTTCCAAATTGTCCTTAGAGCCATAACTCTCATGAAACCCTTGGTCATTGAAAACCCCTGCAGTCACCCTAGCAAAGATAGCTGCTCTGATGCCCTGAGCTAATGAAACTCATTCTCTCTTCCATGAGAAATGCTTACTTGGCAGTGATGGTGTTTCTGGGGTTTGCATACCTGGTGTTTCCATGGGCTGCTGGGGATGGGGTCTGTCTGTCAACCAGATTGGTTTGGCAGTCCTGATAACATATGAGCTCAGGACCTGGCATTGCCACCTCCTCCAATTTTTTCTGGGTGCTAGAAGCACCTTGGGCCCAGTCTCTGCACTGCTCCAGCAAAGCAGTGCAACTAGTTTCAGAGCAGTTCACAGCTTTTGTCTTCAACAGAGCTCACGGCTTGCTTACAGGAAGCAAGATCTGCTTGGGCATGGCGTGTCTTTGGGGAGCGGTGGGCCTTCTGTTTGTGTGTTTCTACAGGGCCTGTTGAAGAATGTCGAGTTTTTGAAGTTGGCAGCAGCGCATTCCGTCACACGTCTTGTTTGCAATCTTTGCCTTTTATCTGTCGCTACAGAAAGGGTACGGCATCTGTTATCTATTCGTTCATTGGTTCCACAGCATTCATTCCTGGGGGTCCAAGCTAGGCTCATAGTCAGCAGTGGGGAGGCCCAGTGTCTGATCTGAAGAGACTACACAGAAAATGTGCCCTAGCAGTGACTTTGCTAAGTCAGTATGTGGTCTGATGCATTATACTGTTACTCACCAGTGAAGTGGTCCTTATAAAGTTATGTGGCTTCTGGATACCATGCTGCAGGGTGCTTCCTAATTCCAGCATCTCCAGACGTGGTGGGGGGAGTGGGGAGGAGACAAAGGCGTTGTGCTGTCTCTCCAGATGGGATCTTGTACTAGAAATAAAATGCAGCTGTGAGGTCTCCTTGTCCTGGATGTCTTACGAGCTCAGCCAGCATCTGAGAGCATTCCCCAGCTTTTGAGCAGAGCATATGTCAGCCACACTGCTAGACAGAACAGCTATGGTTATGCTTTTGTTTTCTTCTCAGATGCATATTGGCAATTGAAAAAAGCTCAGCTGGAATCCAGCCATTTGCTTGTCAGCCATGTGAACACACTTGCAAAGAGGATGGTGGTGAGTCCTGCAGCAGCTGATGGCTTCAGGGCACTGTGAGCAGCAGGAGCTGTTGAGGTTGCTGATTTCTGCTGTTATTTGACAAAACTTTGCTAAAAATTATGCCTGTGGCCTCTTCCAAGCTGCTGTTGGAGAATGCAACCAGCACAGCTGTAACTTGTGCTGTGATTAAGCAAACTGTGGCTTTGGGTTGGATGAGGTTGAGGGGGACAAAAGTGTTCAAAATGTCAGGGCAGAGCTCCTTGCCCTGAGGTGTGCCAGCTGGTGGTGTTAGGGTTAGGGCACGCAATGTGTTGCTCGTGGTCCCAGCACACTGCATAGCTGGCAGTTGGGCAGAGATCACAGCTCTGCACTGACCTAAGCTATGCTGATTTCCTTTCCACAGCAGATTCCTGAGAACATCTTCACAAGTAATGTCCGAGACATGAACCTCTCTGTCGCTCTCGGTACTCTTGATGTCCTGGCAACTGTTCTGAGGAAAGAAAAGACACCTGTGGCATCCTCTGACCTCCTCATGGTGCTTCAGTTACTAAAGGAAGTTGCTGACGTGGAAGTCCAGGAGAGAGAGGAGCTGGAGATGCTGGAGCAGTTGGGCCAATATTACATGGAAGTGACTGAGTTAATCCTGGAAGAGCAGAATATTGAAACGTGGTCATCCATCAGCCAGGTGATGTGCCAGCTGCGTGCCTCATCAGCTCATTTGCTCTGTGTGCAGGTCCTTGGCTTGCAGTATGACTGTGGGCTGAAGACTTCTTTGCATAGTCGCGTGTCCTTTATGGCCATACTCTGGAGCTCCAGTAACCGCAGTGAGGATGGGCACACAGCCTTTGTGCCAGCTCAGAGAAGGGTTCTCTCCAAAGGCCAGCTCGGCTCTTTCAAGCTTCTCCACTTTGACAGCCCAGATTTGCAGAATTGCACACAGTTTGCGGACTCTGGCGCTATGCAGATTCCTTGTTCCCACATCCTTCTGTCTCTGGCAGGGCATTTCCAGTTTGTTGTATTTTCCATAAGTGGCTGCCAAGAAGTTGTCTATCACCAGACCCCATACTGTTCAAATCACCATCAAACTTTATGTGAGGAATTTCCATCATCCCACCCCCGTTAGGATTTTCTTCACTGGCTTTTTCCCTTCTCACACGGGTCTTTTTTACAGCTCACATGTATTTGTATGGCCCACAATCTCCACCTGTCTCTGGGAAAACTGTGACAGAGCTCAGCCAGGCCAGCGCTTCAGAACTGAGCCAGCATGGGGAGGGAGCCAGGAACCTCCAGAGATGAAAGGATGCTGGATAGTTTGTGTCCACAATTACTCACAGCTTCCTGATAGTGGCATAAAACCAGCCCTGGCTCAGCGTAGGTGGTGTAGGAGATGTATCTGCAAAAGGAGGAAGGACCTGATTGTTGTTGCTGGGAGGTCTTTGACTGTGCACAGCGGTGGCACCTGTGCTGCAGTTGGGCCAGTCACCATCTCGCCTCCAGTGGTAAAACCTTTTCAGGGTCATTTCACGGTTTCACCAAAATTCAGGAGTCTGATCTAAAATGCAGTTTGTTTCTTTGCTTCCCAGAAGCTTCTTTATTTGTTTGCTTTCTGTTTAGTGGCTATTTATGAACACTGGCAAGTTTCCCTGCTTGCAAGTCTTTTCACCACTGCTGAAGGAACTGGGAATGTATGCCTTTGAAGAGGACTTACTAGAAAAGCAAAGCAAAAGTGCTAAGCCCCTACATCTCTTCTTCTGACAAAGACTAAGCACTCGTGAAAACTATTGTGAGGTGTGAGAACTGTGAATTAGCAGTGCAGGTGCTGACTTCTGTTATTCTCTGCATGTTTCCAGGCTGTCGGAGGGCCTATGGCTGTTGTTGAGCTCTGTGACAGAGTGGTGTCACTTCTGGCCCCACTGCTGACTTCAGGGAGGACAAAGATCAGAATCCAGCATCAAAATATTGGTGAGTGGCAGTGTGAGGTGCAGAGAACAGGGGAGCATCTCACAGGGACCTGGCTCAGGGTCCATCTGCTGCTGTGACTCTTGGCTGTGGTTATAATATCCTGACAGCTTTTTGCTGCACAGCAGCTCTGGACAAAGGCTGAACTCTGTTTCAGTGCCTGACTTTGCCTCTGCTACAGGGATAGAGGTCAGGAAGCTGGAGCTGAGCAGTCAGCAGCTGAGCAGTGAGACATACCTGATCCAGAGTCCTGAGGAGGACAGGCCTGACTTCATTGAAATCCCTGTTGAAGAGATTCAAAGATTGAAAGCCAAAGGTAGGCCACGAAGCCTGCTGTTTGCGGGTTCTTCCTGTGGCACTTCTGCAGCACATTCAGCAGGAAGGGTCTTTACTCTGCCCACAGGCTGTCTGGAGGAGCACATGGAGGAGACACACTCCATGAAAGGGTGAGGGGCAGTGGGAGAGGTTATCTGGAGCTTCTCCACAGGCACAGCTTGGAGGTGGGGGAGCACAACACACACAGCATTGTGCATCCAGTCCTGGGGCAGCAGTGCTGAGACCTGGGTTGCCCTGTGTGCCTGCACCCATCCTACAGTGCTCTCTCTGCCCAGGTCTCCGCAGGGTCACAGTGAAGAACATGTGGTTTGGCTACAGCTCCCTGCAGCACTGCCTGCCCGGCCCAGGCAGCAGGGCTGCCTTTCAAGACGTGGCTGCCTCCGATGGAGGACAGAAGTGAGTGAAGCAGAAACCCCCTTGCACCAGTGGGGTAGGGGAGAGTCCATTTTGAAGTCCGTTTCTTGAGTTTCTCAGCGCCTCTCCTTTGGGCTAACATCCACCCTGCTCCATCCCATCCCAGTCACCTTCACCCCTAGATTTCCAGGGAGGCAAATAGAAAGGGGCCCAGCAGTCAGGGCTCTGGGGAGGCAAAGACGCCTCTACGCGTCCCGGCCCGAGTTGTGCTGTGGCAGCACGTGCTACGTGCACCACAACGTCCCCTGCGTGCTTTTGGGAAAGAGCTTCTCCGCTGGGTGAGTTAGGGACTGCGGGACTGCTGCGCTGACCGTCAGGAGCACAGCCGGGGTGCGGAGCCCCGCAGCCGGACGGAGCTCCTGACCGCCAGGGGGCGACGGCTGCCCGCGCATCTGCCGCTCGGCCCGGCGCTCCGCTACGGCGCTGCTCGCGGCCCCCGCGCGGCTGCTCCGAGCCTCGCTGCTGGAGCGCGGGGCTTTTTGTTCGCCGGCGGGTCGGAGCACCGCGCGCCCTGTCTCGTATGAAGCGCGGTCCTGTTTTCTGAGCACGCCCGGTGGCGCTCTCTGAGCAGCGTGCTTTCCCTCGCAGGGACCTGAGCACTGCGGTGGGCACTGCTGTGATTTCATCCACCGTGCTCAGCGATTACCAGGAGATAAGCACTTCTGTGCGCTACCATCTGCAGCACCATACCCAGGTACATCCCCCACCTCAGCTAGGAGCACGGCACAGCCAAACCCCCAGGCAGTGCCATGAGCTTGCCCAAGGCCTCCAGAACTCTTGGGCTCTGTGTGTCCCACACCCAGCTCTTACCTTGCCCTCCGTTTTCCCCGGGAGGTGATGTCTCACACTGACAGCCCTTGCTCTGCTACACTGCAGCCTGGCAAACGGCTGTCACAAGTCTGCATCGCATGCATGTGTGGCTGTGCAACCTCTTCTTTTCCATCTCTCCTGCAGGACCTGCCTGATAAGCTGGTGGGGCCCATCTGTGCCTTCTGGAACTTCAGCATCAGGTGCCTTGCTCTTGTTCAGGTCACCAGATTTATAAGATTTTATTTTCACTGCAAAAACAAACATAACAGCATAAATGTAAAGGTAAAAAGTAAGGATCTGTAATTCTCTCACATCTGCTATCTGCTGGAATAGAGTTCTCTCCTTTAGAAAAGTCACTCAAAAGCAAGTGACTTTTAATGAGGTATGTACAACTAAAATGGTCAGCCTTGATTTGTTACCTACCAGAAAGGCTCGTAGGTACACAAGCATTCAGGACAATTTTCCTGTGCAAGCCTACTGAATAAGGCAAACCTGCTGAGACCAAACCACTAGAAGTGCCATCTGTTACCCTCTTCTTCCTCATTGCAACTCCACATGAAATTCCCTCAGTGCCTTGGCTTTCTGTTAAAGTTGCCAGTCATTTTAATATGTTTTCATTTTCTTTTGCCACATGTTAGCCCGGATGCTGGTGGGATGTGGTCAACAGCTGGCTGCTCTGTGGTGACATCTCTCCCAGATTCCACTGTCTGTTTCTGCAACCACACCACAAACTTCGCTGTGCTGCTGCAAGTGTATGAGATAAAGGTGAGCAAGCAGCCTTTCTCAACTGATCTGTGGGGTGGGTGCAGGAATTGCAAGTAGCACAATGTTAATTCACGGGGGTTTTGCCTTTTGTTGTTCCATGACTGGGGCAGAGGACCACCAAGGAGGAGCTCACACTACAAACCTTGACTTTTATCGGATGTGGAGTTTCCTTTTGTGCCCTGCTTGTTACCTTCATTTTATTCTTGGTGGTTGGGTAAGAGGAGTTATTACTTGTGGCCTTTGTATAGTTTTTGTTTGATATTTTGCCTCAGTACAAGTGCAGAAAGGGCAGCTTGTCAGTGTCAAGTTCTGTTGATGGGCGGGGGAGAGCTGGGGAGCTGCAGTCGGTTGCTGGCAGCAGAGGGTAGGGAAAGGAGAGGCTGGCATTGCCTATGGAGGGGATGCAATACTGTGGTTTCCATGGAGATATTTACATGAGCTGTGCTCACACCTCAGTGCCCGTGGAAAGGCATTTATCAGACAAACATTGTTTCCCATAAAAGCTGCTCCGGTAGAGCTAATTTTTATGAAATAAACAGTGCAAGGACTGTTTCTGACTCAGCAAGCACAGAGATCTGCCCTGTGAGAGTATAGCAGTGAATCCTCCACCTACTCCCTGCCTGTCCCTCAGAGCACTGGCCAAGGGCTGAGCTGAGTGCTTCCCAGCACCAAGTGCTTGTGCACTGTGGCAGTCCTTTGCCTCTTTGGACTGTCATCTTTGCAGTGAATAGTAGAAAGATCACACATTATCCAGGCAGGTCTGCACAGCCCAGCAAGCACCCTTCAGAACACTTCAAATCCTTTCACTTGCCTGCAGCTGAGGTCTTCATGTCTCCTCCCCCAGTGTCCCCAAGAATGAACGAACAACTGTACACAAGAACCTGATCTTTGCATTAGCTGCAGCAGAAGCTCTGCTCATGTTCAGTGAATTGGCCAAGACCAACCAGGTAAGCTCACTAAAACATACCCTCACAGGACCAGTTTCCCTCGCAGGACCAGTCCTGCTGAGGTGTTATCATCAGCAGAGCTAACAGAAGTTTAATTCCTTCTATTAACATTTCATTAGCTACCTGTAGTTTGCATCTAGGAAAGAATTGTGACTCTGTGTTTGAAGTGTGCAATTTGTCAGGAAAGTTCACCTCTTGCTTCTTACCACAAAAGCCTTCAGGAAATACAAGCAGTTGTAGAACAGCAATGTAGGTTTTGCAGTTTTCTTCCTGGATGCACATTCTCGGAATTTTCCAGAGGACTTTTCTTCCTGAAGGAGCATGTGATTTCTCTCCAGGTGCTGTGTTTTCTGGTCACTGCCTTCCTTCATCTCTCATTCATGGCAGCCTTCTCGTGGATGCTGGTTGAGGGGCTTCTCCTGTGGAGTAAGGTGGTAGCAGTCAACATGAGTGAAGACAGGAGAATGAAGTTCTACTACGCGACAGGCTGGGGTATCTACAGATTCCTCTGCACTGCAGACTCAGAAACATGCATCAATTATTTTCTATAGCAAACGTTTCAGAAAATAGGAGAAATTCCCCCAGAAGTGGTGCAGTCAGACCAATGCTTGGCTTGGCTCAATATGAGGGCCTGCTGTCACTTGTTCCTCAGAGGCTTTCATACCCTAATGTATCAAATCACCACTCTCAAGATGTAAGCTGAAAAGCATTTCTGTTATTTCTCTAAAACCAAGGGTTCAATACAAAGAACAAGAGGAAGAAGCTCGTGGTAAATTCTTGTAGAGAATCGCTATTGTATTTGTTATTAAAATATAGTTATGTTCTTGATTAAGCAGTCTTCATTCTGCGTGATTCCTTTGGGTGCATAAAATTCATTGGAATAAACAGATTTATATTGAAGAGAAGCCTTTTTAGGTCAGTGCACCTTGCAAAACACATACCTGGTTGCATACTGAAAAAGTAGTTACAGTATTTTGCATTGTTTTATGTTTTTGATCGTCCATTTTGTTAAAACAGCAGTCTGAGTAAATTACTTTGGTCAGGGCTCAGGATTTGTAATGCTTTATATCTACAAAAAGTGATGCTGACAGCATATAAATCTGGTCTTGTAGAGCTGGGGCAGATTTCAGCTGTAGTAAATTCACATTGTAGTGGGGTTTGGGAGGCTGAGCTGGCTCATGCTGCAGCATGTTGGGTCATGGGGGTTTTGAAGCAATTTTCTAGAGCTCAGCTGATCTGCTCGGGTCATACTTGCTTTTTCTGGGTTCTAATTTATTTTATCTTTTTATTTATACGTATTTTTTAATTTGTGCAGGCCTTCCAGCCATTATCGTGGGTGTGACCCTTGCAACTTCCTTCAATAACTATGTGGCAGACAACCACTGCTGGCTGAATGTTCAGACCAATATCATCTGGGCCTTTGTTGGGCCTGTTCTCTTCATCCTGGCAGTAAGTGCCAAAGCCTTCCTGGCAGGTCTGATTCCTGCATCCTGGTTTGAGGAAAGCACTGCAGAGTCAGCAGTCCCAGCACTTCTGCAGCTAAATGCTTGCTCACTGGCTTTCCTGGTGGTTTTTGAGTTGGGAATTTTTGTTAAACTTCACACATAGTTCCACAAGTCTTTTCAATCAAAACAGATTTTTTTATATTAAAAAATAGTTAATAAAATTGTGTTGACTAGTTTCTGTTTTGTCTGGGATGGTGATAAATGTGTAGGCTAAATGTGACTTCACCTTAAATAAAGATCTGCTCATCATATGGGAATATCATCCTTGAAGTAGTTGTCAGTATCACAGCAGAACAACACGGCAGCAGAAAAAGGTGCAGCGTTGAAGGAGGCTAAAGCAGCCTCTTACCAAGACATTCCGTGGGAGAGGTTTTGAGATCAGTTTTTACAGACCTGATACTTGTGCTGATAACCCTATAAGGTATTTCATTTTTCTCAGGAGCGATAACACGTCTCTTCACATTCTGAAAATTAGTTACTGACTTCCCAGAAAAGAGTCTCACCTCACTGGAGTTCAGATCACTGAAGCTTAATGGGTCTGCTGGCTCTTTTCTGACAGGTGAACACCTTTGTGCTTTTCCGGGTGGTGGTGGTGACTGTGTCCAGTGCTCGCAGGAGGGCAAAGATGCTGACACCCAACAGCAGCCTGGAGAACCAGATTGGAATACAAATATGGTAAGCAGATCACAGCACTGGCTGAAGGAGTATAGAATGAAATGGAAATGCTGTTAAACCGAGGGTCTTTGTCTCACTGCATGTGATGACAGACTGAGTTGAAGCTGTCTGGATAGAAAGGATTTTCTCCTCTAGAGTGGCTGAGCATCGCTCAAAGGCAGTTCCTCTGCTGGACTCTTAACCACTGAGAACATTAATTCTCTGTGCTGCTGAGCAGCTTGCTGTCAGGTGTGCAGACATCCTGTAAAACAGTAACTACAGGGAAGTGAGGGAGCAGCCTCAAGTGTTTCCAGGAGCCAAGGGACATGAAGTGCCTGGTTTCCTGGAATTTCACAGAGATCCGAGTCAAAAAAGGGAGTCCTTTCCACAGAACTTTGTGGTTCAAAGTCATTACTTCCATAGCACTTGTACACGCTTACCAGAAGATGTACCCAGTATAGGAGCTTTGGGCTATTTATCTTAATAAAAAGTATTTTCTAAATGCTTGGGACTTGGTGGATTGAAAGGAACCCTGGCAGCAATTACATGGGGAAGGAGAGGCAACATGGACTTCTGTAATCAGTTAATGTAGGGAGACCTCTAAAAACTGCTGCTTGAGTCACTACTTTATCATCTCTATGGATTTTTATTGTTGTTAGCTGGCGCCAGATACCCCTGCTAGACACGCATTGTTCCCCTCTATCATAAATAAATTTTCCCGAAATTACAGAGGCACAAAGATAGGGCAGTGCAGGAGGGCAGGGTGACATCCATGTGCTTGTAAAACAACTACAGAAGCCCTTCTTGTAGCAGCAACTCCAGGGGAATAGCTATTTTCTCATGGCTAATGACGTCAAAGAGCTCCCTTCTTATTAATTCTCAATGATAAAAAAAGAGCAAGGCTGGCACATCGCAGGCTGGGAAGTGAAGTGTTTGGTTTTTCTCCTCTAATTTTGCTTGCAAAGGAATGTTTCATTGCAACCATCTTGGGTGCTGCTTGCTCAGCACCTCGTCAGAGACGCTTGTTGGGGGTACAGAGCCGTCTCCTGGGTAAAAACAAGGAGAGCTCTCTTCTAAACTGCAAAATACAGGGCAGAGTGCTCCAGAACCCACAGTGTTCCACAGCCTAGTATGGTGCCAGTGCAATGCTTCTGCTTTTAAACATGCCCAAGTAACTCTGAGCTTTACTTTCTGACAGGGCCACAGCCAAACCCATCTTGGTGCTGCTGCCTGTGCTGGGACTGACATGGGTGTGTGGGATCCTTGTCCACCTCAGCATCATTTGGGCCTACGTCTTCATCGTGCTTAACTCCCTCCAGGTGAGTCCTGCACCACCTTCATCCTCACCTCACAGCCAAGCAGGTACCTGCTGTTTCTCGTGCTGCAGTGCAATCCACCTGCATTACCAGCTGGGAAACTTTGTCAGGCTTGAAGTCCAGCCCAAGTTTCCCAAATTGTTGTGCTATTTTATCTGGAGAAACTTAAGCTCCTGCTCCCAAGATATGCAAGATATGCCCTGTGCAACACATCCATCTGATGTCCCCTCTGCACCAGCCTCTGGAGTGTCCTACTGGTGCTACATCTTTCTGGTTCAAATCTTATATCTTACGTTAGGGAACTTCATTTTTCTTCCAACTTTACTGTTTCTTCAAAAGAAGAAAACTTTAACCAGTGTTTAAGTGATTAAGAAAGCAAAGTAAATTGTATTAGTTACAGCAGCAAGGAGTGCTTTGTTCTGCACTGAGGTGGAATTATTCTCATGACCTCAGGAGGCTGAGCCTCAGGGACACATAGTGACAAAATATCATAAGGGCTTGCTGAATTGCCACGTGCAATTCAAAGCATCAACAACCTGGCTGACAAAGCATTCCAAACCTTGAAAGAAAGCAGCTGTAGATGGAGCTAGAGAAGCACTAAACACCACTGCTCCTGATATTTGCAGGAGAGATAGTTATCCCAAGGCAAAAGGGAGGCATCTTCACAGACAGGTAGTTCCTGGCAGCAAAGAATCTACATGGCCTCAGCCCAGCCCCAGGTACAAAGACTGGACCAGTCCAAATAACATCAGCGTTCACCCACAGTCAGTTCTGTGGCTTTGTACTAGATACTCACATGTCTATTTTTCAGAATCCCTTGCCCAGTTCTTGAAGGCAGATTTTATTCCAGGGGATCCAATTCAAGAGTAATTGGTTACTATACTCCAAGCCATTGAAATTTTGGTTGTAGAAGTCCTCCATCTGTCTCTATGTTTTGGATGCTGTCATGCAACGGAAAGCACAGCAATGATAGCAGAGATAGCAGGTAGCAACATCCACCTTGGGTGAGATAGGAGAAGAGATGGTAGCTGGATAAAGATTTGTTTTCTTCCTTTGCTTTCTAAGTTACTGCTTCTTTTGTTTTTCTTCTTTCTCCTAATACTCAGTGTGAGTCTGGTTGTGTGGGCAAACTGTCAAGGGTTTGCCCATGAATATGCAGTGCTTGTTTGCCTTCTACTCCTTCTTTGCTAAGTTCAGGTCAATTTGGAAATTACCCTAGAAAAGGAATTTTGATGCTGGCGGGCAACTGTGGAATTGAGAAAAAGCTGGGATAAAAACGTCGTATTTCAGCTCCTTTTCTGGCTGGCCTATTGAGGACAGCTTCTATAGATCGCCTTAGGATTTCCTCTAAGGCTGGCGTGCTTCTTTATGTGCTGGTGTTGTACTGGAAAGTTCTGCTGCTGTAGTTGTTTGTTTGACTGCTTTCTATTTAGCTGAGGAAAGTGAAGACTGTTTTCAAGGTTACTCTGTGCATTGACACCACACCTGGCAGCTCCTCCTCCAGCCAGGCAGCATGAGAGCTCAGCCCAGCAAGAAGCAGCATCGTGAGGTGCTGCGCCCCAGGGAGCTGCAGTGCTGTGGCCAAAACCTGACCAAGATGAGCCAGCAGTCCCTGTCCTGCCCAGCTAACAAGGCAAGAAACCCGTAATTGGTCAATGCAGCCCCTCTGCTATCACCATGAGATCGGAGCTGGGGTCAGCCCAGGGCTCCTGTTTTGCCCAATTCTGCTGATACTGTGAGGGCTTCACACCTCTGCCACCACAGGAGAAACCAGCTGGAAAAGCCTTGCAAGGCATTGGGCTGTGAAATCCGAGTGAGACAGATGCAGGAAAAAGCTGTTTCTATGTGCTTCACTGACAGCTTACCCTTGCTTTACATCGCTGGGCACCTGCTGAGCACCAGCAGCAGAGCCGGCTGCCCAGAACTGAACCGGGCTGACAGAGTGGGGAAGGGACCCCAGTGCCACGAGCTGTCCTGATACAGGTGGGATGACTGGGGGTGCTCTGGTTGCTCCTGGGGTGCCCCCCTCCAGCTCTGACCCTGCCCCACAGCCTTGACCCCGGCAGCACACAGTCAGAATGAGGTGCTGCCCTTCCTGCCGCTGTGCCCTGCCTGTGGCACGGCCTCGGGCCGGCTGCCTTTATTCCTGAAGCTATTTCATGTATCTCCTACTCATCCAGCAGTTCCTGGGACAAATCTGGAGGACTGCACAGCACTGTGCTGAGTAGTTATTCCCCAGTGATGGCTGCTTGCTTCTTTGACCCCTCCCTGAGTGGAGCCGGAGCTGCTCGTGATGGCGGCCGCTGAGGAAGATGGCGGCTCTGCTTTGCTGGGGAGGAGGCGGCGTGGGCAGCAGCAGGGCAAGAGCAGCTCCTCTGGTGCAGCCCTGCGCCACAGCTCTGCTTCCGCCCGCCACTGCAGCTGGGCCTCCTCTTCTTCCTTGCTTTCCTCCCCGCTGACCTCAGCGCTCCCTCCCCCACTCCACTTTCCTACAGAATGATTATTTCAAGGAAGACCTGCCTTGGCAGCCTGGCCAGAAATCTGCTCTGGAGGAGTGACCAGCGTTGTTGTCTGAAGGACAGGTCGTGGCACGGCGCCAGGGTATTGCTACCATTACGCCTGCCAAGAGCTCGCAGATGAAGAGCGAGGCTCATTGAAGACAAGATGGATTACTTTTCTTGCTGCAGCTGATTTATCTAGCTGCGATAACAAACACCCTACAGATATAACATAAATCTGGTGGACCAGATAGGGCTGCCTTAAGGCCAAAATTGTTGGTCTGGAGCTGTAATTAGCCCCTGGCTGTGGCCTCCAGGTGGTGCTCGCTCCGGGCTGTGCCCAGAGTCCTTCCCGCTGTGCAGCTTGTGTGAGACACGAGCTGTGGGTTAGAACAGAGCTTTGGGCTGTGGCACGGCATTTGGTTGCTTGCTGGTGCCCAGTACTTTCATACAGGAGCACCAGTTTGGTGGGAGGGAGGGGGGCCAAGACCGTGCATCCCGAGCCATGGGGTGCCGGTCTGGGAAGGTTTTACCCAGGCTGCAGAAAGCCTCTGAATCAATACCCCCTAAACATGCATCAGAGGCTCCCGCTGGCACGCAGTGGTCTGTCACTACACGGGACAGAGGAATTGTCCACAGCATCACGCTGCGTTTTGTGGGAGGATGGCCCAGGTCCCCGTCCATGGGCTCAGCGGGAAGGGAGTGCTCCTTCCTGGACTTCAGTTTCCCTTGCAACAAATTCCTGGTGGTTTCTGTTTCTGAGATCTGAAGGAGGTGTTTCTGGAGGGATTTTGCATGCATGAGTGAAGAGGAGTGTGGGAGAGTGTAGGGTGAGGGGAGCAGCGGTGCCCAGCTGGAGATGCCGGCTCCCCCTAAATGACTCCAGAGAGGCACAAAGCAACTTCTGCCGAGTGCCTGAACTGCTGCTGAGAGGTGAGATAGAGGGAGAGGAAAAGGAAGAGGGACTGGAACAGAAACCTCCTCTCCTTTGGACTCTCTGTGAAGAAACTTTTCTCGGGCTTGACTTTAGGAATGCTCTTCTAGCCCAGCTTTCCCCTGGTTGTGCCATGCCCAGTGTCTGCCTCTTCCCCTTAGCCTCATCCTCAACTGTTCTAATACGCATCAAACTCATTTCCTCCCATGGAAAGTAGCAGCAAAGCAGCTGTACATCTCTAACTTTCTGTGTTCTCTCCTTTTCAGGGCCTTTATATATTCCTGGTCTATGCAATCTATAACAGTGAGGTAAGAGATACACCTGACTGAGGCTTTGTCACTCTTCAGAGTAGCAGTGAAGCAGTAGCTGGGATTGTAGTTGATGCAACAGAGGGCATAGCACAGACTGTGCTTCTGGGATAGCTATTGCTTTTTGTCTGTGTCTTGCTGGAGGATGTCTTGCTCTGCTTGAGTTGCTGTGTCCCTCTGTAATGTCCTTGCTCTTCTTCAGGTGCGGAATGCCATCCAGAGGATGAAGGACAAGAAAAAAGCACTCTCATTCACAGTAAGTCACAAAGAAGCTTTGCTGCCCCCCTTTGTTCATCCTTCACCCGTCATAGGAGGGCCCTAGCAACGTATATTTGGGCTCCTTTAAGGGGATAATGTTGGAAAGAAGTCTTATTTTCCTTCCCACTTGTCCTGTGTAGGAAGAACAGAGGCTGGTTCCTTTCTTTGCAGTCTTGTTGGACAATGCAGACCCAAGATCATCAACCAAGATTAGGAGACAGCCTTCTGCACCGGGGTGGGATGAGAGCTCATGTCCCAGGGGAAGCAGTGTAGATCAAACCAATCTTTAAAGTTGGATCTGGATCCAGTAAATACACATGTTACAGTTTTCACTGACCTGAATTCCTTCCTTGTCACTGCAGAACTGCTCTCATCCCATCAACTACTTATCAAGTCCAAGGAACACCACCTCCTGGGAGACTGGGAAACCAAGTCCTGCAGCAGTGAGTGCCTCTTCAAACCCTGTGCAGAAAGACCCTCCAGTGAAGAACATCACCAACAGAGGTAAGGAGAGTTGTCACTGCTGTTGGCCCAGACTCTATCATGAGACCACAGTTTATCCCAAGGCTTGAATATTGGTATGCATTCACTTGGCAGGGCGCTGAACCCATTTGCACATTGGGCCCGTGTGAGCACACAGGGTGAGCACAGCATGGGATGAAGGGTTCCCAGGGAAAGCAAGGGACTATCAGCACGTGGGTCTCAGAGGGATCAGGGCTGTCCCTGTGGGCTGGCTGAGCATGAGCAAGGGGTTCTCATAACTGCATTATGCAGCATTGCCCTATTTTCAGTCAAGAATACATGTTTGTGTCTAAAAATGGATTTCCTAGAGGAGACTAGGTGAAGGTGGTGATGGGAAATAGGTTTCTGAGCTTTAGGGAAAAAAGGTGTTGCATGCTACATCCAGTTTGTGGGTGCAAGAATATACTTGCAATTATGGCTGGCCCTTTGGTTCAGTGGATGATGTTTAGGGAGTGCAAAGTTTATTGGTAAAGCATGAATATTTCTATTCCAATCTCCAAACTCACTGTGCTGCTTTGTCCCCTAGGCAACTTTGGAGGCAAAATTCCCATGGGGATTTCATCAATCATGGCACCAGAGAGACCGGTAGGTAATGCCTTCTGATATTCGTCCACCTTCAGCCACACAGAGAGCGCAGTGGGGAGGAAACCCCCAGAGCGGACGTTTTCAAGGAGAGCACTCCCCTCTGAGCTGTGGGGAACTGGACCTGCTGCTGCTCTGTTCCCCGCTGCACTCAGGGCTTGCAGCCCCTCTCCTGGAGAGGAGCGTGGTGGAAGGGTGATCTATGGCATGGGATATAAATGAACAGAAGCTAGTGATATTGAGTTTGTAAAGCAGTGAGCAGAGGATGGTTCAGAACAAGGCAGGAGGCTTCCAGCAGGGGTTTGCTGTCTGTGCAGCAGCCAGGTTGTATCCAACCAAGGAGGGCTGCCCAGTGTTCTGCAGCCATTTCACTTCCCTGGCAGACGCCTGATGCAGAGCTCAGCAAGGTATGGCCTAAAGTGGAGAACAATTTAAATTTGACTACTCTGATACCACTTCCATCTCCCACTATTGAAATGATCATCAGTCCTTGTGCACTTGACTTACAAGTGCTGTAATTTCCTCAGAATAAAATCCAACTACTTTCGTATAAGGCTCTCACTGAAGGATCTCTCTCTCCCTCTCTAATATTTATCCTTTGAAAACCTGTGTCACATAGACAGCTCTTATTTATCCAATAGATAATACTTCTATAGCTGGCATATCATTTTGAAGCCACTCAATAAAATCCATATTTTCATCTCCCGTGATTTATACTGCGGTTAATGCCATTCCTCCTTCGTGCTAAACACCGACCAGAATTCGCAGGTGATGCTTTTCTCAGCCAGCCAGGTGTTTGCTGTGTAAACTGGGAGCAGAGTTAAGCTCTCTGGCACAAAACGCGAGACGTGGGCTAAAGAGATTAGCCCAGAGGCCTGAGTTGTCTAATGCAAGGGGTATTAGGAGGCAGATTTCCTAAATGCCAAGGCCATGGCATTTCCTAGCAAGCAAAGACAGAAACTGTTTTCCTCTGTATGAGGGTCACCTAGGACTTTAGTGTGTCATTGCTGCTTAAACATTTCATTTTCAATGTATTTGTTTCCTTGCTAACGAAGGTGCGCTCAGCAGCGTGCAGCAGGCCAGGCTGGTGCCTGCATCCTGGGGGGCAAGGATGGGCACAGCACTGTGCCCCATGCCAACCTCTGCCCCTGTGGAGCCATGAGCCCCACACTGCTGAGCGGCTCTGTGCAGCATCAGGCCCTGGCAGTGGGGTTGGCAGGGCACAGGGCCCTGCGTCGTGCCACCCCCGGGGGCTAATGGGCACTGCTTGCTGCGTTACATAAGTCAGTGCTGTTTTCCTGCTCCCTGCCAAAGTGAGTCATGTAACTCTCTGGAGGAGCTGTGAATTAAGAATGCCGCTGGCAGCTGCACAATAGTTTGGATGAAGAGAGGATGCTACTTAAAAACGTTTGAAAACACTTAAAACGACAAAACACCAAGCAAGTGAAGATACAAACACAGACAAGATGTTCTTTGTGTTTCAGCTTTTTAAAACGTTGTTTGGTGATGTTTATTGTTGTGGGGCTGGGAGCAGGAATTTCACACCTTGGAGCGTTAACCATCACTTGGGCACATGGAAGAAGTTTATGTGCGGACTTTTCCACGCACAAGGAAGTTCTCTCTGCTCTGCTCCTGGTTTTCACAATGCTTCTAGCAAGTGCCCAGGCTGCAGGTCACACCAGGGCTGGGGCTGAGCAGCGGAGCTGCCAAGAGGTGCAGTGAGTTGCAGGGAGCCCTGCAGAGCACCCATCTCTGTGGGGCTGGGTGCAGGCACTGCAGGAGCTCGCTTGCAAAAGAGGGCAGCTTGGTGCTGTGAGGAGCCTTGCTGGCCTTGGAGGGGGGTCTGGGGGTTCCAGCCATGCAGCAGACTGACCCGTGCTTTCTGCTAACAAATGTTCTCCCCTCTTTCAGGCTGTAGAGCTGACAGCATTCAAATCCTCAGGTAACGTTTCCTTCTTCGTCTTCAATTTATTTTATGCCAATACTCCTTTCTCTGATTGCATTGTGAAGCAGTGGAGGGTGGAGGGCGGGTTATTTTGCTCAGAGTGTAGGAAGTGTTTTATTTCCATCATGCCTTGGTGGCTGCAGTCCTGGCAAAGTGTGAGGCATGCCCTGCAGCAGGGGTGAGGAGCAGGGTGTGCCCGGAGGCCCTGCAGAGCTCGGCCATAGCTGCTCATCTCCCAGCACCCATGTGGCTTTTTCCAGCGTCTCTGCAGCCTTCCTGCTGCCTCCACCTGTCTGCAATTTGCTGCGCACCAGTGAAGCTGCAGCTCACAGACTGGAAGGCAGCAGCCATGCAACAGATGCGTGCAGGCACCGGGCAGCAGTGGGAAGGGTCCAGCACCCTGGGCTGCTTGGCTAGATTCAGGTTGCTTCCAGGGGTGGCCGCAGCTCTTTAATGCCACAGGGTATTGCAAAGCAACAGCTGCTGCAGGAATCATGGGCGGGCGTTAGGAGCAACTTGCTCCTGGAGAAGGGAAGCCAGGAAAGATGGGGTGTTCAGACAGGGATGGATTTATGAGCTTAAAAGCAGCCATTTAGCTTCTTCTGTTTCAGGTTGTAGAAAGGCCAATGTCACCATGAAGGTGGGTAGAGCTGAAAACAGAAATCCCTTCTAAGCCCCAGACCTTTGCTGGGCTGCAGTGCTGGGGGGGCTGGCAGCAGCTCAGCTCCCTGCCCTGCTTTGGGCAGGTCCTCGACTCCTCTGCACACAGGTGCAGTGTATTTTGTTTTGTTTTATTTTTTATCTGTCACTGATGAGTACTGCAAGCACTCTCAATGCAGTCTCTCGATGGGGTCACTCAAGCAGACAGTGCAGGGAAGAAGCAGCAGGGATGGATTGATACTATTTTTTCTGCGTTGTTACATTTTCTTTTGTCAAGGGATGCAGTGCATTAGCAGGTTCTGATTTTGCTCCATATTAAGTGTCTAAGCAGGGCAAGCTTAGACTGTTTTCGAGAAGATGCCACCCAGAAGCCTTACAGCTTTCCTCCCCACAGTGGACACATGAACGAGGCAGACAGCAGTGTTTGGGAGTAAACGTGCTGCAGTCCCAGGCTCAGCACTGTGCACGCTGAGCACGTGCACTGGTGCATCTCAGCCTCACCTGCTCCTGCCTATTTTAATGAGCCACATGTGTAATTAAACTCCAGCTGTGTAAAGAGGTGGGCTGTTTAGCTTGTTTTTGCTTTCTCAGGTAAGCCCCCAGCATATGTTTAAAAAAAACGCACAGCCCTGAGCACATGGAAGGGAGCCTCGCAGTGCCATGCCTTTGGGGTTAGGAGAACTGGCAGGGCCCATGCAGAAGCTGGCCAGTCCTGGGGCCTGGCTTGGTGCCTCCCCTCTCCCTGGGTCACCAACCACACAACTGCAGGGGAAGCGACAGCTGAAGCGGCCCACGTGCACACAGCTCCCTGCGAGCCTGGAGAGCAGCTCTGCTCGCACCTGGGGCCACGGCTTGGGCTGTGCTTCAGCCTGAGGGTGACGGAGAAGATCTCCTTGAACCAGAAGAGCCCTCCTCTCACACTTGTGTGCGTGTAAGGCAGCGAGCACAGTGCTGTGCTGCTCTGCAACGAGGCGCAGGACTCAAAGATAAGTGCTTCCAGCCATTAAACATGTGAAGTACAAGGCAGCAGTGTCCAGCTGCAGCAATGCTGGGATGACCCCAGGGCAGGGCAGCATTGCACATGGTCGTCTCAGCTTGTTTGGCAGAACAAAATGCTGTGTAGCTCTTGGGGAAAACAGCTGCCGGGGAAGCAAGCCGTAGTCCTCTGTGTTTGATGGTGATTGAGAGACAAATCGTCTGAATACTCTCTTCTGTTTGTTTTCTCCCCAAATAGTTTAATGCGAGAGATGTACTTTGCCCCATGTGTGTTTATTTGAAAACTTCCAGCCAGCTCTAATGCAGATTGTCATGGTGCCAGCAGCAGGCCTGCAGGAGGTTATGCAAAGATGCAGGAGGATACCGCCTGCCCCTGCCTGAACCAGGAGATCTCGTGGGCAGGAGGGAGGAAGCTGGGGGCTGGCAGGACCTGCTTGCAGCTGCCCAGCAGAGCGGTGCTGGGCCTGGGGTGGCATCCATCTGCCTCGCCCCGTTGCAGTAATTGAGTGCAGCCATGCTCTTGCTACCCATGCAAGGGTCACCAGTGGGGTTCGTGGTGCAAGACAGAAGGGCTCAGGGCAGCACTTTGCTGTGTGTGAGGGTGAAGGCAGATTGAGCCCAGGTAAAGGCCCAGCCAGGTTCAGGAGCACACAGCATGCTGTTCAGCAGGGTGGCTGCGGCACAGGCAGGCTGGGGCTGAGTGCTGCCCCCACAGCCCTCCCTCTCTCTCACCCCCAATATTCGGTCTCCCCTTCCAAGGACTCAATTCACTCGGAGGGGCCGCGTGCTTTTCGCAGTAATGAGCTCCAGCCCAGCTGTACAAAGATGTGCGTTGCATGGAGCACTCTGCTCAGATTCATTACACCCATTATGCAAGAAGGGGATGGCTGGGGGGATTCACATGTTTGCACAAACAATAAGTGCTGTCTTCCTTGTCTTGGTGAACAAGAGCTCCAAGAGGCCTCCACATCCTCCATCTCTTCAAGTGATGGCTTCTTTGTTTCCCCACGATAATTTCATTATTCGGTTTGAATACATTTATATGTTGCTAAGCCACACATAGCAACATGGATCTTGTTTCCACGGGCCAGCCTTTCTGTGATCAATATTGAGTATTTCTGCAACTCTCGCAATACTGCCTTCAGTAGGATTTCTTTTAAAATAATGGGGAAATGGTGGATCTCAGGGATCTGCAGCCAGCCAGGCACTGAGCGTGCCATGGGTGCTGGGGAAATGCCAACCCACTGGGCTGCCCTGTCCCTCCCTGCCCTGGGTGCTGCTGTCCCTCCCAGCTGGGCAGAGAGGGCCCTGTACCTTGATGGGGGAAGCGCAGCCCAGGCAGAATCAGTGCTCTCTTCCACAATACCATTGGTATATACATTAAATCTTGCTGAAACCTTTATTCGGTGCATTCAGAGCTGGCGGTGCCCTGTGCAGTGTGTCTGGTGTATGTCACTGCTGAGCAGCTGAAGGAGAAGTCTGCCTGCTCTCTGCCTGTGCCCCAGGACCCCAGCAGGGCAGTGGGGAGCCACCCTGCCCTTCTCACAGCCAGTGCGGCTCAATCCATCTCTCTTTTGCTTTAGGTTTCTGAGAGGAGGTTTCTGAGTGCCATGAAACTGGTGGTTCTTCAAACAGCCAGGAGGATGGTGGGCAGAGGAGCTGCTTCCCATGGAGGGCTGCTAACTGTGCTTCTGAGCATCATGAAAGCCACGGCAGGACAGGGGCTGCATGGGGTTCTCACAGGGCCATTGGGCTCCGTGTGCTGCTGAAGGCACTCCACACATCCCCAGCACCACATTGCTGCCAGCACTGGTTGTGCCACTACCAGAGCTGGTTTCACTTGGAGGATGTGGTGTGGGACGCACTGTGCCCAGGCCTGTGCCCACACAGGGGGAGAGCATCGCTCTGCAGGGCAGGATTGGTGCTGGGCTGCATGGGAAGCATAGGCATCAGGGAAGACGGCAGCTCGCTTCAATTCTTTTCTAAACCAGCTGACTTTAATAGCTTCTTTGGCTGTGTTTTGGACAAGAAAATCTCCCTTCTCCTCCTGGTTTCCCATCTGGCTGGTTGCTCCCCCCTCCAGCTGCTGTTATGTACTCCCTCCATTCTGTGCCTTGGACTGCTTCTCCTGTTACTTTATAGTGTGTAGAGCGCATGAAACGTGGGTTTTTTTGCTGGTTATGATGACAGTAAATGCTGATTTTTAAAGGCAGCCTTCTCTCCCTGTAATTTGTCCCTGGGAACAGTTCCGTGGGCACGTGCGATAGCTTCACAGGTTGGAAGTGGTGCAGGGCTGCAATGCGAGGGATCGGGGCTCTGTGATCCCACGGGCTGGCTGTCCCATCACGCTGTGTTCCTTCCTTGGTCTCAGCACAGCTTGTGCCGGATGGCATTTATTTATTGATGGAAACCGCAGCCCTCAAAACATCTCTGTACTGGCCAAAAACCACAATCTGGGTGCAGAAATACCACTTCTGGTGTCAGCATTTCCAGCTGTCGGGGGCAGGGGAGTCCCTGCTCGGGGCTCTGCCAGTGGCACTGCCTTCACAGCCATTGCTTGATGCTCTGCTGAGGTTTTGCTCCCTCCCTCAGCACATGGCATTGCCCATTGCCTCCTAAATGCTATAATTCTCAAGCTTATTTGCAAAACATACTCAGAGTTGCTATGGCAATTACAGCAGCACTTGGAATCAGGTCCTGAGTCACTGATGCCCTCCTATTGAGCCACAGCAGTGGTCCCCTCCTGCTGGGGTCCCACGGGATGGGGGCTGGGGGCTGAGCAGAGCCCTGGGGTGAGGAGGAGCAGCGGCACCAGAAAGGAGTGTCAGAAATACAATCAAAAAAGACAACGTCTGCCTTCTTAAATGAACTGCAAAATTTATTACAGTGGTTTACTCCTGACATGGAAGTTAATAACCTCCTGTCTGGGAAGGAAGGTGGGGAGCAAGGGGCAGAGGGATGGGAGAGAGGAAAGGATGTGTGTGAGAGAGAGAGAGACACTTAAGGACACTTTTCATTTTCTGAAAATAAAATCTTTTACCTCCCAAACAATTTTCTCCAGTTCTTTAAGTTCACAGAAAGAAGAAGGTGAAACTGAACCACAGGAGGAAAATGCACAAACGTTGAAAAGCAAAAACAAACATGCTCTTCTGTATCTAACAAGCTGGGGTTGGCAGTTGGCAGCGCGAGAGCTCCTCAAGCCCCAGCTCTGCGTGGAGCTGCAGTGTGTGTGTCCCCTGCGACTGGCACAGCGGAGAAAAAACCTGAACCAAATCCATTGGTGGAGCTGGCAGGGCCATGTGCTGGGCACCAGTGAGGAGCAGCGCGGGGCAGGAGGAGGCCGCAATGGAGCCTCTGTGCTGCCCTGCTGAGCCCCAGCCCAGTGCAGGAGAACCGGCATCTGTGCCTGACTTTGTGCTCTGCTGTCACCTGGGGACAAGGCAGCGCTGGCCCTCCTGCTTCCTCCTTGCCCAAGTGTCAGGGTGTTGCCAGGGCCCGAAGCTGCAGCCCTGGGCACGTGTTGGCACGTGCTGCTGCAACTGTCCCAGTGCCCACAGCATGAGGCCAGGCCCTGAGCGTCCCTCCTGCCCTGCTGCCACCAGCATCACCTGGTCAGGGGGTGGTGCCCATCCCTGTCCCTGTCCTGCCCTTCTGCTGCTCCCCAGCAGCACACAGGCACAGCTGGTGGCTGGAGTGAGCTCCAGGAATCTGCCCAGGCTTTGGGTGCCTGGCTGTGCCTCTGTCCCTGCACCTTCTCTTGCCCTGCTGCAGGGCAGCTGAAGTGTCCCAGGGATGAGTTCCTGTCCTCAGCACTGTCTCTTGGAGCCTCTACACAAAAACTTGCCATCCTGGACGTGAGCTGAGCCCAGACATGGGTGGGATTTGGGCACTGCAGGTGCCAAGGGCTGTAAAACCGTACTTCCTGCCGTGGCACTGGCAAGCGCTAAGAAAACGGAGCCAGCTGAGGGTCAGCGGTGCCCTGCTTTGTGCTGGGCAGGCAGTGACTTCCCGTCAGACAGGAGCAGGTCTCTTAGCCCCAGGGCTCAGCTTTGCTGCTGCAGAAATCCCCTGCCGCTGTACTGGTGCCAGAGCAAAGAGAAACCCCACATGCTGGGAGGATTTCAGCTCACTTCTTCCCATGCCCTCTACACCAGAGGGGGCATGCTGGGCAATGGAGGGCAGCGGCAGAGAGACAGAGTGCAGGGATGACAGGAGAGGAGCAGAAACGGGAGCAAAGCTGGGACAGGCTTTCCCTCTGCTCACGTTGCAGACCCAGGTCAGGCAGTGGGTCGGGCACTGACTGTGCAGGGTCTGCAGGGCTGCAGTGCTGGCAGGGCAGGCCGGCTGTTGAGCACGCATCCCTGCGACCGCTAACTGTCCTTACCACGTTTTAAAATAAATCACCTGGGACCTTCCACTGGCACAGGTTAAATAGCATCACTGAGAGGCGAGGGGTGGAGAGGAGGTCCCAGGTGCATGCCCTGCCCCACTGCTGCATGGGGCCCTGCAGAGTCCATGTGGGAACTGCACTCAAGTCCGCTTGGCATGCAGCATCTCGATGAGGAGGTTGTTGCAGGGCACCTCTCCGCTCAGGTGCTTGTGGTACAGGTACTCCTCTGCCTGCATGCTCAGCGCCCGGACCTCGGTCAGCCGCAGCAGCAGCTGCCGGAACTTGTCTGTGCAGTGCGGGTAGTGGCACACTGTGTACTCCAGCAGTGCTGCATTGGCCTTCTCCTGAGCGTCCTTAGCCAGCGTGTGGTTCTCCAGGTACTTCACATCTACAAGAGAGCGAGATGGGGGGAGTGAAGTGGAGCCAGGCACAGGCACTGCCTGCACTGTGCTGGGTGCACCAGGAGGGTCTGTCCCCACTGTCCTTTCCCCGGTGCCGCAGCTTGGGTGCTCAGTTTGCTGATCGCCGTGCTGCCAGCTCCCCGTGTGTCCACACTCAGGACTGAGTTTGCAGCTTGAGCGCTGCCTGGCTGTGTGGAGCCCTCAGATCCAGGCAGCAAAGCGGTGGGGTTCTGCAGTTTATCTGGGGCTTTGGAGCCCAACAGGCATGGCCACGCCAAGGGCTGAGCGGCTCCTGGGAGGGCAGTGTGAGGTGCTGGTGGTGGAGGGGCCTGGGACCCGGGGGCCCAGCCTCCGTGGTCAGGGTTTGCTGGACACCACACGGTGTGGGCTGCAGGCCTGCGGGGTGTGCCTGGCACTTATCAGATCACCCTTCCCTTTTAACTCCTGTGGCACATTTGCTCCTATTGTGGCCGCCTCCCTTCTACCCGGGGTTGTTGTTATGAAATCTCTTTATCTGCATAAGGTTATTGTGCATGTCATTAAAAAAAAGAAGTTATATTGATAAATGTCAAATCTATCCCCTGAGTTGGCTCAACAATAGCTAGTTCTACTCGATGAACTCACCTGGTTCTCTGAAAGACCCTATTCACTGTTTAATTGAATATTTGAATAATCTTTTCATTCCTGCAAGGAATAAAGAATGTTGTCCAAATAACATTGACTCACTTCATTTAGCGACACTGCAGCAGTTGCAAAGACTGTCCTGTGACAAAGCCTCCCATCACACATACAGATATGCCTGGGATTATTTCTATGCCCTCAAGTGTTCTTCCTATTCACAGCTCCTTTTGTTTGGGAGAAGCTGCTGATAAATTGCAAACGCTTAAGGGAATGTGGGCTATAAAAGCCTCTCTTCCTCCCCTCCCCAAGAGTAGCTGCTTCATGAATGTAAGTCATGAAATCGAATGATAGGTCAATCCATTAAGGCTCTATTAAGCCCTTCTGTAGAACAAAGCTAACCTGTGCCGTCCTCATAAATATTGCTATTTTGAGAAGCCCTAATTTTAATTAAATCTCTTTACCTGCTCAGGAGAGAAATCTATTTAGAACTCAAATGGCAGCTCTTGTGAGTGGGGCTTGGCTTTGATTGTGCTGTGGCAGAGTGGTAAATGTGGAAATTCTCTTGTTAAAGGCAATTACATCCTGAACATAATACACAATCCCATCCTCTACAGCTGAGCCTGAGAAGGGCAAATTACTCCAAGTGAGCTCTGCAATATGGAGAGAAAAAGTTGAATTTGGGGCAAAATAATGTCTGGGAAAACACTGCTGTTTTATTCCACGCCCTCCGTGAAAGCTGCTGCTCTGGGGATGAGGAATCCCAGGCTGAGAGCAGTGCTGCAACCACCGGTGCCTGGAAGGATGATGCCCTGCTTGCTGCCATCTGCGGGAGGGATGGGGACAGGGATGGGTTCAGGGATGGGGATGGGGCAGCCTTGGAGGTCACGCTGCTGCAGAACCCACGGGGCAGCAATGGGGCATGGCCCCCTCTCCAGCTCCCTCATTTCCCAGCACTGTTTGTGCCACACCTTATCACTGTTGAAATAGCGAGTCGCCATATCTGGTTGCTCTGGATTTCAAAACAGCTCCAGAGAAAAAAAGAATGCCTTGGGAGGAGGAGATGCTGCAGCTGCAGGAGGGGACAGCTGCATGGCTCCCGGCTCCCTGGGACCTGCTGCTGCCAGGGATGTCCTCAGCAAACTCCACTCC